CATATTTAGGCTTTGGCATGTGTAGTATCTTCCCTATGATTTGAAATTATTGATGATGTCTTGCTTAGTTGGATAGCATGTCTGCTGATGCCTATGTTTCGTTATCTTGACTTGTGTTCACTTTGTGCTTAATGATTAATATCTCGTGGCTCCGTGAATACTTGCATTTGTTTGAGAGTCGGAATGAGACCGTCCTTAGTGAGTCATGTGCCATGTGTGGTGTGGTTTTTGTGTAGTCTATGTATGGTACTTGTGTCTAGAACTTGCCTGGTATGTGAATTGAAGCGAAATTTTAGGTGATGCTCGGTTTGAAAAATGATTTTAGGCTTTCTTTGACCTTTTTGAGCTTAATTGCTTATCACAAATAAAATCTATCCCTAGTTAAACCTTTTGAGCCTATAGACTTTTATTTGGCACCCACATTACAAGCCTATACCCTTTTATTCTTAATTGATATTGTTTTGATCCCTTTTCCTCTTAAAGCATTTTAATTGTGAGCTGAGTGCTAAAAGAAGTAAGAGGGAATTAAGTGTGGGGTGGCTTTTGAGTGGAACCAATAAAAAGAAGAAATGTGCACTTGTTTTGTAAAATAATACACCATTAGCAAAAATTGGAAAAAAAAAAAGAATAATCTGGAAAAAAAATAGAGATGAATACATTGTTGTCTTGTTCTTGCTAGTGGGTATGAACTAAAGTAGTGCTTAAAGAAGAAGGAAACGTTTTTGAGGGGTGATATTGTTTGTGAAAGTGAAGTGGATTGAAGAAATTGCGCTTAAGTTATCATGTGATGTGTTAAAGTGCTTAGGAGGGTTAGTCACTATTCCTAAATATATCCTACCCGTCCCTTAGCCCACATTACAACCATGAAAAAGTCCTAATTGATTTTAGATCGAGCGAGCCTACATTAGTAGAGATTTACATTATGGGCAAGCCTATGGTACCAAGTGCATGCATGTGATTTCTTTTGTGAGAGAGAGAGAGAGAGAGAGTTCATTGATATATATATATATATATATATATATATGAGTCTTTAAACTATATTTTGATCATGAGATTTGATTGTGTGGGTTCAACGTATTCTCTTGTTCTTGTTGTGAGGGCACATGGCTTCATGAGGGATAGGTAACGTTATTAGACTTCTCTACGACGTTGGGTGTTCAAGCCAAGAGTGCATTGTGACATTGAGTCAATTTTTGAGGCTAGGATTGTGGTGAGCATGTTGTCTTTGTTGTAAATAATTTTTAAGAATAGTATGAGTAAAAGGGAATTGTTGCATATGTTAGAGTTTAATTGTTGCTATCAACCATAATCATTGGTGTAGTGTGCTTCGAATATGTTAAGTGCTCATAGATAAAGTAAATTTTTGGTTGACTCGAGGACGAGCAACGTTTAAGTATGGGATGTTGATGATAGGCTATAATTATGTATTTTAGTCACTTATTACACTCTAATTTACTGCACTTTAATTGAGTTTGAGCTTTAATCGCTAGTGTTTTGCACTAATGGTGTGTTTTATGCCTTGTAGGAGTGATTCCGAGCTATGTAGATGATATGGAATGAATTCAAGTAATTTGGAGCTTTAAAGTTTGAGTAAAAGCTCAAGGAATTAAGCCAGGATCGTGTTTGGGGGTCAACGGATGATAGTTAGAGCGAACGAAGACTCCAGTAGGCATATTGCGCACTGTCTAGTAAAATAGATATAACTTTTTGCACAGAACTTCATTTTAGCTCCACAATATATGGTTGGAAATCTAACTCAAAGGGATATAACTTTCATGTTTTACGTTTTTCCAAATTCGGAACGGAACAGGGTGAAAAATGTGCGAACGCGCGAAGTTAGCGCGAAGTCGCGCAAGTTAAGGAGCTGGAGGCAGAATGTCAGAAGTCATGCGCGAGCTCGCGCTAGTCACCCGGGAAAAATGTCCTTTTTCACATTGGAGAAGGTATAATTGTTTGGGCCCAACACTACTTGGTATATATACATGGAAAAACGGTATTTTGAGTGGGAGGACATTTTTGAGAGGAAAACACAAGCACAGAGCCGCCGTGGAGGCCGGGTTTCATCTTTTCTTCCACCAACTTAGTCTTTTTAAGTTTCTTTGTATGATTTGTTATTTTGCTACCATGTCTATGTGGAGCTAAACTTCACGTTCTAGGGTTGTGGTTCTTTCATGACTATTGTTATTCGGATGTTGATTTTCATTTCTTAGTTTATCATATTGGTTTATTTATTCAATCTTGCACTTAATTATTTGATTGCTTGATCACCAATTGAATACTATCGACGAATCTAGAGTTGAACTCGAAAGTGGGAATTCTAGATTGCATATAGGATTGAGTAGAGCAAGTTCTTGAACCAGGGCCTCGGGGAACGAATTCGCGGTTAGGATAGACATATACCTAATTGCCTTGCTTGGTTGATTTACAGGAATTATAAATGCGTTCTTGTTGATTCTAACTCCATAGACATATAGGCGTTAGGTTAGCTTGAATAGGCGAGTAAGAACTCGACAGATTCTTATGAGCGGTATTAACCCTGTCAACCAATAAACTAGATAAATTAATTAGACAATTCAATTGAATAATACAATAGGAATGTTAGATAGCCCATAACCCTAGATCGTTTTCATTACATTGATATCATAAAAATCTGCTCTTCCTCTGTTTAAAGTTCATTATTTATATTTCTTTATTCAATTAGTTTAGTATCAAATATTTCTAGGTTTAATTCTTGTTTAGATAATTAAGATAGTCTAATTTAGTTAATAGTTAATCACAAGTCCTCGTGGGATCGACATCCAACTTTCAGTCACTTTATTACTTGACGATCGCGTATACTTGCGTATGCGTTTGGCCGCAACACGGCTAGCGGAGATCGCGGTGTGCAGTGGTTCAGAATCGAATCGGTGTTCCTAATGTTGGTGGCTCGAGAAAGATGATCTTCGGAGAGGTTTAGAGTTGGTAGCAATCTATTGGTTCAAGTGCTACAGAGATGGATTTTGATTTAAGGCAAAAACTGGGCATTGATGAGTAAGGACATGTGGGAGGTGTCTGGCGGTGGTTAAATTTCTAGAAGGCCAAGTGTGAGAAGCAGAAGTCGAGTAGTTGCTTAAAGGAGAGGGTTTGACCAAAGTGGGAGAGTAGCAGAGTAGCATATGGGTTCTGTGGTATGATAGTTGCACGCCTTGAGGAAAGTTTAGAGTGATTTGGGATTCATGGTGGATAGTGACTAGGTCTCCAGACTTAATTTAGAATATTGGCCACTATACTGAAGAGGATTGGATACAACAGAAAGGAGTTGCTCGATATAAAGAGGGATGCAACATGACTTCGGATTGGAATGTATTGTCACGCCCTTAGTTGATGTCAATTGGGAGTGAAAGGACTTGGACAGCTGGTGAATGAGCACGGGCTTAGGAAGGTTACTGATTTCGTAGTAATTGTACACAGTGCAGCGTCGTTGGAAGATGTTGACATGGAATTTCCATGAATGGGTTATCTCCTGTGAGCAGATTAGCAGTTATGTGGTGTTGATGAAGCTTCTACTAATAATTCTACCGGCTATCCGGTAAGAGTTCGAATATGTGAATGTGGCTAGTGATTCAGAGTGTTTATGAAATGTTTAACAGAATAATTTCAAAAAATCTGGCGGGTTGATTGTGGAAGATCATGTCAATGGGAAAGAAAGAATCATGGTGGGTTCCAGGGTTAGGTAATTGTAGCTTCAAGCTGAGTGGGGGAGCCTACCATCTGCGATTAGATTGCGTGGTTGTCTACTTGTGAGGTTTCTGATTATCGGCATATTGGTGGGTTATTACGACTACAGAAAGAAAACATCGCCGGTAATTTGAGCAAAGGATTTGAGGAATGTGCGCTATATTTGGCCTTATCGATTCATGTTCAGGCTTTGGGAAGACTCAAAGTTTATGCTTCGTGTATATGTGATGTAAAAGGGAAGTAATTCAGCCGGGTGCTTCTTTGAGAGGGTGTTCAAGTGCTAGCAGAGCCTTGGAGTATTCTATGTTATGATTGTTCTGCGCTGCAACATTGGAGGAACAGGAGAAAATAACTTCGGATTCATAAAGGATTTATCAAAATGGGTGTACCTATTGAATATGCGAATGTGCGCACAAGGAGGGTCTGAGATGGTTCGTGGGTTTTGAGACAATGTGGTCTCGTGATATAGGGTCACTCAGGATGAGTGCAGATTGGGTTCGTTATATTTTGATGGAGCGATTATTATTTCTAAGGCAAGTCCAGAGTAAATTAGAAGAATTCGGATCGGTTATCAATGGTTGAATTGGCATGATGGTGTCAATGATCAGTTCCTTCAACGTGTTAAGTTATACATGGGATTTGTGGCGGTACGTGCGAGGCTGACGATCGCCGTAATTTGAGTCAATTGGAGGCATTCGATTATAATGGCCTGTTATGTGTAGATGGATCCCGGAAGAGTTATGGTGGTTTAGACCACTACTTGAGGTTTGTATATTCTGCGGTTATGGAAATTCAGTCACGTGTTGCAATGGTTCTCCTGAATTGAGTTAAGTGAAAGATTTATGTATGATGCAGTATGTATCTTATTAGTGGTTCGGGAGTTATGATGAAATTCTTGTGCTCTCGCGTATTGGTAAGATAGGCACGGTGAGCGGCATGGAATTTGAAAGTTGAGGATCAGGGTTGCAGTTTTGTGTTGACAAGAATGTCATGAGCTCGGATGAGCAGGAAAGAATTGAGATGTTTAAAGCAAGTTGGTATTGTCCTTAGCGTCACCTGAGATCAGTGTCCTGTGTAAGAGGCTTTGTGTACTAATTTGTGGATTCTCCATTTGCTTTACAGCATTAGTATGGCAGATCGTGATACCAATGTCCTGATACCAAGCTGTCAGTGTCCTGATACCAAGCTGTCACGACCCAAAATCCATTAAAGGTCGTGATGGCGCCTAACATCGCTGTTAGGCAAGCCAACCATAACGATTAACTTAATTACTCATTTTAACATTTTTGAGACCATAAATTTCCTTGATTAAATAGAAAGAAATAGAATTTACAGGGTGGACAATAATATTTTTCACAACTACAATAATGAATAACCCGTAAGCACCCCAAAACCCGATGTCACAAGTGCATGAGCATCAGCTAGGAAGGGTGATCAAATACAGCATCTGTCCGAAATACAAATTAGAGAGCAAAATATAAATAACTATAAAGGAGACCCTACCGGCTGCGAATCGTAACATGAAATGTAGCTCGCGGTAAGTCCCCGCATCATCCGCGCCTCCGCGCCCAAAGGACCACCAGACATAAATGTACCTGCACAAAAAATGTGTAGCAAGTATAGTATAAGTACGTAATCAACGTGTACCCATCAAGTATCTGGCCTAACCCCAGAGGAGTAGTGACGAGGGGCCAACATCGACACTTACTAGGGGTCCAATAATATCAGGTATACTAAAGAGGTAAACAAATATGAGGCAGAGTAAATAAACAAAATAAATAAGTATAAATATGTGGTACAATTCTCCTCTTTACAATGAACTCAAGCTCTCAGTTAGCAAATTTCTCCTCAACCAGAGCATATATATATATATATATATATATATATATATATATATATATATATATATATATGTAATGGACCACTCCAAATAGGTTGTTATAATTCAAATCAGAAAAAACTCACAGATACAGTGGCTTCTTGCCAAATATTATGCAGGATTCTATGAGGATATTTTATAGAAATGCCGAGGCGTACGGCTCGATCCCATCATAATCTGTGCACTGTCGAGGGTCGAACGGCACGAACCATAGATGTATCTATTAAACTGCCAAAGCGAACGGCCAGCTCCCATGAGAATGTGGTAATAAATCCTGCCGAGGCGAACGGCCCGATCCCATTAGAATAAGAATCTTAAACGGGTCCTTGACCCCCACTCTCGAATAAACGTGTAAATTATAATTCTTAAGGAAAATTGTTTGATGAAAATGCATAGCGCGTGAGAAATCCGTAAGAGGAACACCACTATTCCGTGGAAAATCATGAAACTCGAGAAATCTCTACAATAGCAAGTCTATCACTCTACGCATGACTAGTCTGAAGTCGTAATGCGAATGAAAAGAATGAAACGAGCAAAGATAATCCCTATAGTACAAGTATAGTATGATGTGAACCTAAGTCTACCCGGACAATAACATGAATCTAATTACGTACGGACTCTCGTCACCTCGTGCGTACGTACTCCCCCCCCCCCCCCCCCTCAACGAGTTACAAATATTAAATATATCACGTAGGGGTAGTTTCCCCCTCACAGAGTTAGACATGAGACTTACCTCGCTCCGAAGTTCCATAACCGGCTCTAACGCTGCTCTAACACCCCAAACCGATGCCCGTCGCTCCAAAACTAGTCAAACAATGTGCAAACCAATAAAAATATGCTCTAATACTCATAAAAATTGACTTAAACAATTTTCCAACTCCGCTCGAAAAATCGATAAAGCAACCCCCGGGCCCACGTGCCCGAATTTCGAAAAATTTGGAAGAAATTTGTTGCCCATAACCTTATGAAGTCAAATATATGATTTTTACTAAATTTCATAACCATTTTCGTGGTCAAATCCTATTTTTATCCAAAACCTAGGTTTTTCATCTGAACCCTTGATTTCATAAATTTTTACATGTAAATATACCCAACTCATGTTGTGTAGAAATTACTTACCTCAAGGTGCTAGGTGAAAATCCCCTTCCAAGAGCTCCAAAAATCGCCCAAGAGATGAATGAAAATGAGCCAAATTGCCTAAATCTCACATTTAATAAAGCTGTGCACAGGTCGCAGATGTCACATTTGCGACACCTAGTTCGCAAATGCGAAGGTCGCAAATACGACAAAATCTTCGCAATTGCGAATCTAGATTCCCCTTTGTCAAGGTTGCAAATGCGACCAAAAACTCGCAAATGCGAAGGCAGGCTTAGTTGCAAATGCGACTGAAATCTCGCAAATGCGAGCCCTACCCAGATCAACCTTCCTTGCAACTGCGAAGCCTTTCTCACAAATGCGAGGTCCGTAAAACCATTTCTCGCATTTGCGTTACCTGAGACACCAGCAAAGAAAAACCAAAAGATTGAAGCTTTCTCATCATTGCGAACATGTTCGAAACTCACCCGAGCCCTCGGGGCTCCACACCAAACGTCCGCACAAGTCTAAAAATATCATATGAACTCGCTCGCACGATCGAAACACTGAAATAACATCTAAAATCACGAATCGGACGCTAAAATGCATGGACTAACTCATGAACTCAAGAACTTCTAAAAATACTTCCGCGTGTTCGATTCCTATCAAATCAACTCGGAATGATGCCAAATTTTGCGTGCAAGTCTTAAATGACGTTACGGATCTATTACCAGTCTTGGAATCCTAATTGGACCTTGATATCACCAAAACCTACTCCATATCAAATTTAAAGAACTTTAAAACCTTCAAAGAGCCAACTTTCACTATTAGGCGCCGAAACGCTCCCGGATTATCCAAAACCCGATCCGAAGATACGCCCAAGTTCGAAATCATCATACGAACCTATTGGAACCGTCAAATCATGATTCCGATGTTATTTACTTAAAAGTCAAACCTTAGTCAATTCCTCCAACTTAAAGCTTCCGAAATTAGAATTTTCTTTCCAAGTCAACTCCGAACTTTCCTAAACTGCATTCTGACCATACGTACAAGCCATAATACCTGCGGTGGAGCTACTCAAGGCCTCAAACTACCGAACGATGTGCCAGAGCTCAAAACGACCGGTCGGGTCATTACACAATAACCCATAGATATCATCTATGAAATTTGGAAATCGTAGCAAGTTTGGGAAAAAATTGAAAGAAAAAAGTGGAAGAAAATCAGAAACTGGAATTGAAGCACTCATTGTTGATGGAAAGAATTGATAAAGTAGAATAAAATGGCAGCTAAAAGAATTTTCAGCACGAAATCACTTTTTTTTTTTTTTTGAAAAGAAGTGGAAGAAGATTAGAGAAAAGTTACTGACCTAGTGAAGAAGATGAATTAAACCCACACAAGTCCTTCAAAATATATTGTTAACTGGGAGTAAATAAATATATAAAAGGGACAATTGGAGAGTTCAAGGATGTTGGGATTTGTATGGATAAAAAAGTAGATAAAAGTGGCGGACACTTCTAGAATAGTAGGGTTGTTGTGGGGATTATACGTACATATGTATTTTTTATTATTATTTATATTATAATAAATGGTAGGTATAATGAAAATTCTGCCGATCAGCATTTCCCCATACCTTTGTTTTTGTGAAAATTAATTTACTTTTTTAGATGTTTACCGTGAGCAGTCTTCATATTAATTAATTTCATGATTTTGTTCCTCCTTCAAATTTTGAATTTCTACCATATTTCTTTTATGTTGTTCGTTATTATTAACACTCAATTTCATAACATAAATGAATATCATATAAAAATAACAGAAGAAAGAGGGTTAAGCCCAAGAACATTTGAAAGATAGTTTGACGTAAACAATCTCTTTCAAATACGATCACCCATATATTTCAGCTATGAAATTTGGAAATCATAGGAGGTTTGGGGAAAAAGTTGGGGGAAAAACGGAATAAAATCAGATCTGGAATAACACTCATAGTTGATGGAAAGAATTGATAAAGTAGAACAAAACGATAGCTACAAGGATTTTCAGCATGAAATAACCATTATTTAAAAAAAAGGTGGAAGAAGATTAGAGAAACGTTACTGATCTAGTGGAGAAGATGAATTAAACGCACACAAGTCCTTCAAAATATACTGTTAACTGAGAGTAATAAATGTATAAAAGGGACTGTGAGAGAGTTCTAGGATGTTGGGGTTTCTATGGATAAAAAAGTAGATGAAAGGAAAGATAGTTTGACCAAAATAATCTCTTTCAAATACAATCACCCATATATTTCAGCCATGAAATTTGAAAATCTTAGCAGGTTTGAGAAAAATTGGGGGAAAGAAGCGGAAGGAAATCGAATTTGGATTTGAAACACTCATAGTTGATGGAAAGAATTAATAAAGTAGAACAAAACGGCAGCTATAAGGATGTTCAGCATGAAATCACTTTATTTTATGTTGTTTGAAAAGAAGTGGAAGAGGATTAGAGAATGTTATTAGCCTAGTGGAGAAGATGAATTAATTTCACACAAGTCCTTTATAATATACTATTAACTGGGAGTAAATAAATCTATAAAAGGGACTGTCGAAGAGTTCTAGGATGTTGGGGTTTGTATGGATAAAAAAGTAGATAAAAGTGGCTGATACTTCTTGAATATTGTAGGGTTGTTATGGGGTTTATATGTATATACGTATTTTTTATTATTATATATAATGTAATAAAATAGCAGGTATAATGACAAGTCTGTCCTTGGTAGACCATTTTTGCCTTTTCTATATAATTTATCAACATTTCCCTCATACCTTTGTTTGCTTGTGAAAACTAACTTAATTTTTAGACGTTACCATGAGCAGTTTTCATGTTAATTCATTTCATGATTTGTTCCATCTTCAAATTTCGAATTTCTACCATATTTCTTCTATGTTTTTAGTTATTATTAACACTCAAATTCAGAACATAAATAAAGATGATACCAAAATAACAGAAGAAAAAGGGTTAAGCCAAACAACATTGGAAAGATAGTTTGACATAAATAATCTCTTTCAAATACAATCATCCATATATTTCAGCAATGAAATTTGAAAATTATAGCAGGTTTGGGAAAAAATTGGAAAAAAAAATAAAAGAAAATCGGATCTGGAATTGGAACACTCACAGCTGATGAAAAGAATTGAAAAAGTAGAACAAAACGGCAGCTGCAAGGATTTTCAACATGAAATCATTTTGTTTTTTTTTGAAAAGAAGTGGAAGAAGATTAGAGAAAAGTTACTCACCTAGTGGAGAAGATGAATTAAACTCACACAAGTCCTTCAATAGATCGTTAACTGGGAGTAAATAAATGTGTAAAAGGGACTCTATGAGAGTTCTAGGATATCGGGATTTGTGTAGATAAAAAAGTAGATGAAAGTGGCTGAGACTTCTAGAATATTGTAGGGTTGTTGTGGAGTTTATATGTATATACATATTATTATTATTATTTATATTATAATAAAAGGGCATGTATAACGACAAGTCTGCCCTTGGTCGGCCACCCTTGCCTTTTCTGTATAATAGAATTTTCATAGGTTTTAGGCATATTTGTTACAAGTATAAAAGGCAGACTTTGTTCTGAAATGAAATAGCTAGACATAATTACTAAAATGTGAATTTAAGAATTGATTATAATGAATCTTCATTCATCTATTCTTTGATTCCCAAAGTTTAGTTAGTACTTGTATAACATAGTGGAAAGGACAATGCCTGTAGAAATTAGAATACATTTGAGAAGAACAACTTGTAAGAAAATTGAAATAAAAAAAAATTAAAAGCAGTGCCTATAGAAATCTTATGATATATTCCTGTGTTTTTAGTACATCAGTTCCCCCCCCCCCCCCCCCCCTAAATAGTTTCTTTTTTAGGTTCATTCTATAGCTTTCAGGAAGATCCTTCGATGGTTTCACAGAATAGACAGTTATTGACCATAACATTCCAAGAGTGCAATTAAAAGGAGGCGAAATATATAAATGGCCCCTCTAAGTTGTCCACAACTATCAGTTGAACACCTTAACTTGGCATCTGATCAGATAGACACCTCTGCTTGGTAGGAGTATATTCTCTTAAACCCCTTACGCTGACATGGCAAATTTTGTGTGTTACACTCAGATCTAAGCGCGTGAAATCTTAAAAATTAGATTTATCTTTTTTTTTCCTAAATTAAAATGGACCCTACCTAATTTTTAGACCTCCTCCTTCTCCAATTTTTCCTCCACATGTTCAGCCATCCTTTGCCCTAAACTTACTCTCATCTTTTCCCACCATGACAGAAAAATACATTAAAGACACAACTTCCATTGTGTTACAGTGGTGAAAAGGAGCAGCGTCCATGTTACTGTGGCTTAAGTGATGGTTTTGGTTGGGAGGTGGAAAAGTAGGGTCTTTTTCTTCTTTTTAATTAAAATTATAACTATTTCTTAATATAAACTATAATTTGTTTAAGAAATACACGTGTCACTCGATAATTTGTCAGTTTGACATGTCATCAACAAGTGTAACTCACACATGAGACTTGTTGATTGGGGTGTTCACGAGACACACCTGTGTCAAATAAAAGTGTTTATGTGGTCAGATGTCAAGTTAAAGTGTTCAATTGATCGTTGTGGACAACTTAAAGGGGCTGCTATTTATGTATTTCTCCTTAAAAGGAACACAAATTTTCGAAAGTTATCGAAACATATCCACTGGCTTCAGTTGTTTCCTGTGGACCTGTGATACAAAATATAATAGTATTTCAGAAGTAATGCTACTAGCACCAGACCTATCAAACATTTACAAGTTGAGAGAGAAGGATTAGATTTCCTTCTTTTTTATTACCTCCGTTTCATTTTATGTGAACTTGTTTAACTAGAAACAGAATTTAAGAGAGAAAAAAGAAAAACATTTTAAAAATTGTAGTCTTTTTTTAAACCAGTAAAAGGTATTTTTATTGATAACCAGCAACATGTATACGCTGGTGAGTATGTACAGTATAGCAAGCATGGCGTGTAATGAGCTCAAAATATCAATCATGGCTTCTACATCATTAAATGAGGCCATGTTGCATTAAAAAAAAGCAAAGAGGAAATATATCTCAGCTTTACTATGTGAGAAGAAGATTCTTTTTTGCTCTAAAAATGTCTTGCGTTTCTTTCCTTCCAGAGAGACCACCAAATGGTTGCGAATTGAATTCCAGAACTTGACAGCAGCTTTCCATAGACCTTTCCTCTGCCAGCAATGCGATAAATCAACTGTAGATTTCGGCGTAGCCCAGGAAAGGCCCAAGATGTCAAAGAAGATTCCAAATCTCAGAAGTAAATGTGCAATGAATGAATAAGTGTCAGTGTCTTCAATCTGATTTTCGCAGGGAGTGCACCTGCTACATATGTTAAAGCCTCACATTCACAGATTTTTATGCGTTAAGACAGCATTATCTGTGACGAACCAAGTGAAACATTCGACTTTAGTAGGGGCTGTACTCCTCCAAATATGTTTCCCAGGCCAGTCAGCATTTACAGCATTTTTCCTGGAGAGAATTGAGTAGCCTGACTTAATAGAGAACCTCCCATCAGCGCATCCTTCCATAGTAGCAAACTGGCTTGTTTTGTAGGAAGGTCTGGATCTTGGGAAGCTGCTGTAGCAAGGAACAGAAGTCCTGCAATTCCCAATCATAGATTGAAGCTTGTGGTCTTAAACATGCTATGACATTTCTATAGCTATAGAATTATGTTATTTAGGGTAAAATGAGAAGTTTAAAGTTTGTCTAAACATAGAAAGGTGTCATTTTTTTTGGAACAAACTAAACAGGAAAGAGTGCCACAAAAAATGGAGCAGAGGGAATAACTAGTTTGGGATTTTCAAATAGTAGTACTCTTAAGTTGAGGGAAAAAGAGATTTGATCTTTGTCACTATTGGGGGAAAGAATCAAGTTATATTACCTGAGATAACAAGCTAGTGGCAATCCTTCAGCTTTACTAGTTGATGTGGATCAGTATTCATCTAACAATCTCAGATTTCATTGGTTGAAAATTGAAATATCCATTTCGGCCTTCCCGTTGGAACCAATATTGGCAGATTTTGCCATTTTGGCAGCACTATGGATTTTCTTTGCTATTAGCACAAGCATTTCAGCTGCCTTGGCTAATGACTGATTTTCATGCTCCCTTGAACTCTCTATTCTGGAATGCTGATTTGCAAAATTAGAAAACAACTGCACTGCTCTCTCAGCTGCAACATCCAAATTATTTATTGCCTCTTCACACATAAGAATTGTTTCACTGGTTGGTCTATGCATATTGGGAGATTCATTTTTTCCAGTCTGCAAAGGTACAGAATAAATCTTAGTGACAACAAGGTTAGTGCATGTAGTATTGCCTTAGTAAATTGCCCTAGGATCTTGCGACTGTTGGGACATACATGTTTCTCGGTTAGCTCTGTGGCACATTTTCTATTATGATATTTATTGGCACAAATGAAGAATAAAGGGAGAATAAGAATCTCTTGGGAAATGTTAAAATGAGTCAAACATTCTATGTGAAGCAAAAAAGATCCTTTTATTGACTTAAATAAAAAAGAAAATGTATGGAAAGAACATGATCAAATAAAATATCTACACTAGAAAAAGTTATAACAAGTAGCAGTTTTACTACTATATCCTGAGATACCTTGGATTTAGGGTCAGCCATCAAAGAATGAGGATTAGTAACTTTGGCTTGTGCCCATTTCGGGAGTCTTGAAATGCTGAATTTAAGTGCCGTCCCTGGAGAACTCCCTTCTCGACAGAGTACTCTCTGATTTACCTGGAAGAGTTTTGGGGTCATATATATGCCTTCAGGTTGGCGGTAATTAACCTCGTGAAATTTGATTTGATCTGAAGTTGCTGGAGCAGCAAATTTTTCTGGGGATAACGGACAAGCATTTTCCTTAATTTTCCGCAGCATCACAGACGATAAAGAACTAGGGAGTTTCCAAACAAAGATACAACCATCACAACTTACCTGAATTCATCAGAAATCTATATTAAGATTGGGAAGAAGTCACTAAATAAACTAGTGTAAAACAGGAAATATAGAGCAAATCGTTGTAGATTGGGGAAGTTTGAGAAAATCGTTCTAGAAGGGTTTATTAATAAGAAGAAGTAACCTGAAAACATATGCTTTGCACCAATCACTTATGAAGTCACCCAGAGAAATCAACCATGAAGCAAAAGCTAACTTGGAAATAGAGTCATTAAAATTTGAAAACTCTTTTAGATGTGACTTCACCTTAGCAGCAGAAACTAGGGAGAACAAGGTGATAGACATCTAAATTTTTGTCCAAGTTTGGCAGTAGGTTACTTCTCACTATATTGTTTGCCTGGTGGATACCAATTAGGAAACTCCTAATTAGAGAGATCATAATTCAGATAAGCCAAACATTGGATCGGGAAATATACATAGGAGGTACTCACAGAAACTAGATGCTTGCAGTCAGGTAAAAAGATGACACCAGTTATAACATCACCATGCCCAACTGCTTGTGCGACCATATTCCCAGACATATTGTCATATAAGCAAAGAATCTTAAACGAGTCGGAGCAAACCAGATAACTGCAGCTAGGGTCCACACATACCTGTAAAAGGTGACATAGGTCTAACATAAGATCAACTAGATAATACCTATTGAATGGGTTTGTCAGTATTTACATACCTTTAGAGGATCCCCAAAACCTCCAATATGCTTAAATGACCTGATTAACTTCCCAGAAGGAATGCTGAATGTGTTAATCTTCTTATCCTAAGACAAAAAAACTCTTTTAAGTCTATAATTTGACGTAGTCCGAGTTATTATATGTTCTGGCACGTTATCGCTAGAAAAAATAACAGCCTTCTTTAATACATTATCTATCTGAATTTCCTAATTCAGAAAGAACAAAGGAAGCAAACACTGCGATCTACAATTTACCTGCCCTATAGTGACAGCAATCTCAGTGGAAGCATCAACTGCCATGTCATATACAACTCCCGGTAAGACTCGATGATAGCAAGATATCTTGTATGCTGAATCGATCATAGCAACATCACAGAAAACCAGAGACCTGTCAAGAGAAAGACAAGAATAAAGGGACATGAGATATCATGTAGAAGAAGCTGCATAGAATGATATTTGTCCTCAAAAATGAAGTCATCCAATGCTCTAACACTATGTCATTCCTCAAGCACAAATTAGAAAATCATGTTAATATGTTAAGATGCTTATGGGTGTAAGGGAGAAGGGTATGGGTGTCAAGTTGCTTATGCTTCAAAAATATCAATGTCATCCCAGTTTACTAGTTGCTTTCAAAGTCTAACCTATCTGCGTTACAACTGAGAATCTTAGTGCCACTGCAAGTGCATTTCACGCAGGTCACAGGAGCAGAATGATCACGAAAACTCCCGATGAGGTCAAAGTTCCTGAAAAGGGAGTTAGACAAGTTAGCTATAAATGACTTTTAACTAATTGAACAAACTCAAAAGACCTAGTCAAACCTTTCCGCATCATAGAGATGAATCATGCCATCCTTTCCCCCAGAGACAAGAAAATAATGACTGTGGCGAAACTTATCAGCAGGAGTGTCACTGCTTTGCAAGCTGAAACTCAACGACAGAATTTCGCCTTCATGAGCACCCTACAAGTGTACGGATACTTGGTATAATTTGGTTTACATGGCAATGGAGTATACACTTGGAAAAGAATCATAAACAAGAAACAATACCAAACAGGAAAACTTCACCGGTCATTAAAAGAAGCAAACCACTTTAGTTAACTGCACAGCCTACAGAAATACAGGTTTACCTGGATGCATGTATAATCAGCTGTGTGTAGGTTGAATATATGCAGATTTCCCAGGAAATCACCAGCTCCCAGATACCTTCCATCTGAACTGACAGCCATTGAACGATAACCTGTAGAGGCAAAGCCTGATGCCAGAGATTCACGTTCAAAAACACCAGCCCTCGCTGTTCATATACAAAACCAAGAGCATTAACCACACAAGTGTCATATTATATATGAAGCACATTTTAGCAAAGATCAAGTATCAAAAGAGCAACTTTTTGGTATGGTGAGGAAGTATGGCACACCTAAAAGCATAGAGCCTGCTGAAAGGGAACTCAAAGATTTGTCTTTTGTTGGAATAGGAAAGCTACTGTCTGATGAGATAGATTGTAATTCAAGATCCCACACCCTGATGCTGCCATCAGCTGAGCATGTTGCAAAAGAAACTCCACCAGAACAGCCGTTAGCAGCACATGCTTTAGAGGGATCATGCATGTTTTCGCATGAGAAATTCTTGATGTCCCATATGCAGGCACTATGTGAAACTAGCACAGAGCACCTGGTGGCCTGGAAAGTATATCATCATGATTTTCAGTCTTACATATGCGACATGGTTCGCAAAGTTGAGTTCAAGCCCAAAAAAACATAAGCCATCATGGCTTATGCCATACAAAATGAAAAGAACAAGTCAAAATTGGGAAAGAACTAAAGAGTTTTAGAGAAACACCTTGTCAACATCCTGAACATCCCATATGTAAATGCTGCGATCGTCATAGATGACAACTGTAAAGGAGAAGTTACCATCAAAATCGGTTAATTTAGGAATTAATTCCTTCTACCAAAATAGCTAGTTACTTACCAAGTTTTTGCAATGATGAAAACTGACAAGCAATTGTGTTAGGCAGACTCTCCAACTGCTCATATCGATTTTTTTCAATCATTGCATGACAGTCTGCAGCACTTTCTTTACTGCATCTGGTTTCAGCATAGTATAAGCTCCCAGCATATAAAAGAGAGTTTGCAGCAAAGAGTTTAACTTGTCCATTATTGCATGCACAAGCAACCAACTTTCTGGATACTGATAGTCCAAAAGCTTTCTCAACCTGAGGTGCAAGTACAAAACAATGATGAGAAGACTATAAGGCCTTATACTTGAAAAGGTAATACATATAGCACTCAAATATCAGAAAATTTCAGGAAGTACAGAATTTCTTTTCAATGCTCTTCAATGTAATCAGTACTAATGTGGAAGAAACAACAACATATACCTGTAATTCCACAGAAGTTGCTATAGTCATCTCCGAGTTTAGAAGGCACAAAACCCCTATTAACAAAAGAAGAAATTAAGGAGCTCAAGAACATGCAAAAATATAAAGATAACATATGTATGTTAAACTTGTAACCTGCATCTGTCAGCGCATAAACATGCGAAGCTTCACCAGTGCGAATGTGATCTAGGAGACTACTCTCACGCCACGTGGAAGATGCAACAGCTATGAACGAGCATCCTTTATGATGACCAAGATTAGCCTGCTTTCCAATTGCTCCTGATGCTGTTCTAGCTTTCCTATGAGATCTGGTAGGTAATCCCAATTTCCAGAACTTCAGGTGCTTCTTTCCGGCAGTGATAAACAATCTTCCATCTGATGAGAAGCTAACAGATTCAACTGCAGAACTTGGCGTGAACCCCTTGCATTTTGTAATTAATGTCTCACTCTGGAAATCCCAAAGGCAAACATATCCATCATGAGGATATCCAACAGAAGCGAGGTGTTGGCCTGCAGTTATTAACACAATCAAGAAAAACTGAGAAATAAGATTAAGACACCGAGGCTCATCTCCCCTTCCATGTATCTTAAACAAAAACTGGTTGCTTAGGCAAAGTGCAATGACTAATTACAACAAACCATCAGGTGAAAAGGCAATGCACGCTACGCCGTGTTGATGCGCCTTCAATTCGCATGTCCGAGCCAAACTTGCTGCTTCCCATATCACTACTGCAGGATGAGGTCCTGACTGAAGCATTGCCCCATTAGTTAGTGCCAAAACGGACTTAAAAAAACTAGTCATCAGTTGAACAGAACAGTCTATGTGAACGTGTGTGTGTGTATGTAACTTTTCCTGTCATTATACATATACATGTAGCTTTTACTACCAAAAAGAAAGACAGTTATACGAGCATATAGTTTATAAGTTTGAGCAAGACAGCTAATTTATCCATGCTGCAGCTTTAACAAGCCATAGAAAGCAGAAGAGACATAATGTTGAAGTTGAAAAGACAAACAATCTGGAGACACTAGAAAGGTGAATGTAGCCTGTCCAACTCTTTCACCTCTTTAAAATGATTCTAATCTGATGATAGTAGTGCATTAATGGACAAACACTTTGCTATAGCCTCAATTGTGATGATAGTAGTGCATTAATTGACAAACACTTTGCCATGAGCCTCACTTTGATAGTAGTAGCTCATTAATGGACAAACACTTTGCTACAAGCCTATGACTACCTAAGATGGGGCAGCATTCCCAACAAACAGCAGAGGGACCGGGCCCTATCCTCAAGGGAGCACTGCAGGGTGAATTGCTGCTGCAAAGGCTAAAGCCGCACTATTAGTGCATACAAACCTAAGGATGCTAGACCAAGCTAGCACAATTGCAAGAGAAACACAATAATCTAGCATTGTGTCAATAAGGTGTTGTTCTGCTTCTTGAAGAGTCGGAATAAGCCCATGACATGGCATCCCTACAAAACTAGGAAAAGGGCCTTCTAAGTTCTAAGCCTCAATTCCCATGCATTTGAACTATATAACGAGGAGATGGACCCAATTTAAACCTTCTACACCTCATTGTGATCTATTTTGGTGCCAACTGCCATGAAGTTAATCCTTATGCCATATTACTCCAGGCTCTAGAAAGCAAGCCTGTGAGGAATTAAATAAGGGGATTCGAGAAGACACTACAATGTCATATCTACAATTTGAACCTGTAATAAAAACCCTTTGCCGCTACACTGGAATTTTTCCTTACGTCATGGACATTCAACATATTATATGTAAGAGAAAAAAACATTTTTTTTCTCTATTTGAATAGTATAATTTTTATTTGAGTAGTATAATTTTTCGACTAATGGAATTCAATTGAACCCCCTTTACTACTTAGCTTGGCCCCTGGGACTATGGCACTAGCTCACGATTGTGAAGTCTCTTAAAGGAACATGGTTGACTTTGTCATGACTAGTACAGTATACTTCCCTTAACCAGGTTCAGCCACCTCAATCTAATCTTCAGACTACAAAATGTAGTACAAAAGCACAAATCAAGAAATCCTCCTAATTTTCCATGCTTAGAAGAAAATGTAGTACAAAGTTGAGAGTAGATGTTAGGCCCAATACGGAATCCAAAGTCTATGGCCCAGATATTGTCTACCAGCTTTATCCCGTTTCATAAACTACATAATTAAGTTAATGTTAGTCCACATTGAATAAAAATTCCAAGCAGTTATACCTCTCCAGCAGCGATAAAACGTCCATCAAGTGAAATGGCAACACAGCTCAACGGCTTCGGCAATCGATCAGACACTACCAAATGCGACTGCGTGCACGAATCTACGTCATAAACCACAGCAACACAGCCCGCAATATACACACATTTCGAATTCGAAACTCCGGAAGCCGCAGCAAGTCCATTTGCATTCCCAGTTGTAAAACCGACTATTTCCTCTAACATCAGCTGCCAAAAATCAAAGAAATTGTAATAATGATCGAACTTGGAAGTACGCACAATGTGATAATGATTGTTACCTTTGAAATTTCAGGTTTTTTCTCCTTGCGACTACGTTTCATCTTCTTCGATTTTGAAAACCCTAGCGACGATGATCAACAGAGGCCCACTAAGGCGATTAAGGAGAGTGAGAGTGAGACGGGGGCGGGAAATTAGTTCAAATATAAAAAGAGATTTTGTTTTTGATTTCGGGAAGACATTGCGCTGATATCAAAAGTAATGTTCCTGTACCAAGCAGTGTTTAATATTGTTGTACGGAGTATTATTCTGCATTAATGTCATAAACTTCAAATTTTTAGAATTTATATTGTCACACCTCCTTTTTTACACACCTACCCGAATGATAGTGTATAAGGGAGTTTTTCCATTTAAAGTGACATTATTCGAAATGGAATTATTTATTTGATTTTTAGAGTCGCCACTTGGGATAAGATTGGCTTTTGGTGTCCCAAGTCACCGATTTAATTTAAATCCCAAATCGAGGAAAATTTCGACTTCCCAATTGGAGTCTGCGAACCAGAAATTCTGAATAAGGAATTCTGTTGACCCGAGGGAAGGTGTTAGGCACCCCCGGATCCCGTGGTTCTAGCACGGTCGCTTAAATTATTATAATTGGCTAAAAATCTAATTTTGTACATGTTCAAACCTATAGTGCAATTTTTATAAATTTGTTTAACCGCTTTTAATTAGTTTTTTATGGAAGTGAACGCCGTTTAAGAGCGTGTTTTTGGATCACGTCACATGAAATGCACCCGGATCCTCGACACCTCTTATTCAACGTTTTGGGATTTGGATTTGGGCCGCATGAAATGCACACCCGTATTTAAGAAAGTAAATTATTAAAAGCGCGCCTAAAGTGGCTAGCGTCTTATTAACTTTGCGGGAAGCCATGAAAATTCGCTAAATGGCATGTCCCGAATTTCTAAAATATTTTAAATAAAGCATTTAATGAGGGCCCCCGCAATTTATGCATTTTATTTGGCGAGGCTCATCTCAATTTATTATTTAAAGGCTAACCTAAAGCAAGCTAAGATTTTCTATTTGTTTGTCTCTAAAAAGGGCCTAATTAATTTATATTTATAAATTCAGGTCTCGGGTTCAAGTCCGAATTCAAACAAAAGGGGAAAAACCCTCCTAATTTGAACCCGCTACTTAACTCAAGAACCTAATTTGTTACGACATTATTTCTAACGATCTTAAAATATTTTTCACTTCCAATGATCCTCTTGGGCCTCGATGACTGGCCCAAGACTATGAACAGGCAATGAGATCCACAAAGTGCTACATCTTTCTGGAAACAAGCCCAAATGACTGACCAACATGACCACTAACCAGACGTTGAAATTTCAATTTCTCGTCACTTTTAGCTGAAAATTATCACAACAATGTTCAAACGAATAGCTTGATGGCCAGAACCCAAGGATGCTTTGTTTTCTATTTTTTAGAAATTGGGATTATTATAACTGAACGGATCAACATATATAGAGATGAACATATTCTAAAAGCCATTAAGACAGTTGAGATCATCTTGAAAGCCAATGTGAGATCATTTAAACTGTTGGATGATTCAACACTGATTTTAGATCTGTGTTCAAGCCTGGATATGGATTTGTATACTAAAAATGACGCGGTTAAAGCTTAATTCTGGCGTGGCATTGACACCTACGTGAATTATTACTAAATATTCTGTCTCAACATTAAAACTCGGATAGCTACAGCAATTGTTATGAAGCCTAGTACAGGAGCCACAACAACTGAACACCTGAATTATACTATGTGAATGACACTAACAGTCACAACAACTGAACACCTACAACATTTAAATGTTAAATACGAACATGAAGACCAGTTCACAGCTGATACAGTCCAGATATGGGATCCAATTATACAGTCTAGCTATTCAAAAACAACAGAATATCCAACTATGCTACTACACAAACTAACATGAAGGCTAGTGTACATATAAGCAACACAGAATAGAGATGAAATCACATGAGCTTGGAACTAAACACATTCCTTAAAAATTTCAGCTCCAACACAAGGTTACATCAGCAGATTCAGGTATGTACCTGGAAATTGAAATTCAATAAGAAGAGAGGAGGATCAGCAGCAGGTCAAGCAGTCAGCAAGGTCAAGTAGCAATTTAACAGCCTCAAATAAATCACAGCATCCAGTTCGAACTCCCAGCAATGAAGTACCAGCAAACAGACCCAACACTCGGCTAAATGAACTAGTTCCTATTTGAAATCAATCTAGAATTCTTTGACAAACTTCAGTAGTCGAATTTTAAGCTAACCGATGATAAATCAAACCCTACAATTTGAAATTGAATCCAAAATCTTAGTAGCACAACATTTTTTGAGTTTTCAACTTTTCTTTTGTTTTTTGTTTTGTTGTTGTTATTTTTTTTTTGGTTTTGGTTTTTGAAGATCTAGATCTAGAGAATTTTTGAATTTGAAGTTCAACTTTGGGCTGATGAAGACTTGTGAAAGTGGGGGAATTTTCAGAGTTTCCAAAATTTCTAGAAAACTTTTAGGGTTTTTTCAGATTTTCCCAAACTCTTCCCCTTTTGCAAGGCAGGGTGTACTGCCTTTTATAGGCTAACATTAGGGCACCTCTACAGATTTGTTTTGCACCTTAGCCCCTCATTTTTGACTTGTTTATCAAGTTAGCAAACCGAAAATTAATTAAAGGCCCTTGCTAGAAACTTCTAGGGATTTCCCAGGCAGTTAGGGAAAGATTCCCTTAACTCCATTTCCTAACTTACCCTTAGGCAGCCTGTTATTTACCTTCTACCCCTTCCCCTGAGTCCCCTCTAGTTCTGAGATTGACAAATAAACCCTAAACCTCTTAAAATATGACAAACAGGATTAATCCAACACTAGGGCTTCCAACGGATCAAACTACGAACAATTCTTAAAAAAGAATGCCGAAAATCAAATGGAAAACAAATTGAAATATGAACCAAACAAATAGACACTGAAATAAAAAATCATGAACTGAAATCATGGATTAAAAAACACGAACTAAAACAACTAGAAATTGAAACTAAAGAAGAACAAAATTATGAACTGAAATCAAACTAAATCAAAATTAACTCCAACAAAACAAAAATAAATAAGAATTAAACTAAAATAATAAGAACAAATACAGAATTAAAGAAACAGAATCAATTTGAAAAGAAACTTACTGATTTTGTTCTTCCGTGGGTTGAATTCGAATTGAACCTCCCAATAATATTATATGTTTGTTTTTATTAAAAAAAACAAACACATAATGTTATTTGGAAGTCAACTCGAGACCTGGTAAAAATTGTTTAAGAAAATCCAATAGTGTTCGAAACCCTAGATCTAAAATTGAAGAAATTTCGTTGAGTTTTGAACAGTTTTGGTTTGGGATTAAAGATGAGGAGGGTTAGGAGATTGTACGGTGTTAATTTGGACGAGTTTTGGGGAAGGTAGGGTTTGGCCGGATTTTCGATCTAAAATTCGAGCAAATCGGCTAAGAATTGAAAGAAACAGTTTTGGGGGTTGGAAAGAGGAGGGAACGGGGAGCTTGTGGTGAAATTTTAGGGTCGTTTGGGGCTTCGCCGCCGCCGGCGGACGGCGGAGATACGGCAAGGGGACGATGGTGTTACACCGGCTTTACAGGGGGAGGGGTTGGTACGAGGATGATGGAATGGTCTCTAGGGTTAGGGAGTTATTTGGACACTTTTATTTTAATTCAAGATTCAATTCAGGCCGTTAGATTTGAGGGGATGGACGGTCATGATCCATTGACACCAAAACGATGTCGTTTTGGGCGTCTCTGGACCGGATCAGGGGTTGGTTGGACCGGACTGGGTGATAAAATTGGGCCTGGGTAGGGTTTAGATGAACCGAGGGATTTGGGCTTGGCTTTTTAGAGATTGGACAAGGTCCAAAAATCTGAAACAAAAGACCCTATTTAATTTCCTTTTCTTTTTAATTTTCCAATTTCTTTTAATCCCTTTTCTATTTATTATTATTATTTTTATTTTTTATTTTTTTTGTAATAATAGAACTAAAATTAAACCTAAAAGATTAAGCTAATCTACCTAATTATATTAAGCTAGAATTAATAATCAAAACTATTAGTAAAATACCAATTTAAAGAAAACTAATAAAATTCAAAACTAAAATTTAAAACCAAGCAACACATCAATTTTTGATTTTTGTATTTTTGTAAAACCCTAATTACTAATTAATCTAAAAATGTGAAATTAAGTCCTAAATGACAATGCAATGCGTATTTNTGAATTATGCTAATGCACACATAAAAAAATGACAATAAGCACGAAATTATACAATTAATCCTAAAAAAAAATCCTAATTCTAAGGAATTTTGTAGGAGTAGTTTAAACATGGCAAAAATCACGTGCTCACATATATCATTGTTCAAATTTAAATTTAAAGTAATATATTCTCTTACTAAACTAATTAATTAACATCTCAAAAATAATTCGAAACATAATTTTGTGCATATGGGCTCAGCGTTATAATTCGAAAGAAATTCAGCATTAGCCTGATTTACAATTTTTTACTAAAAATTATCCATTTCATAATCGAGACTTAATTACTTTTTTAGCGAAAATATAATCTAGACAAAAATACTTTTGTTAAAAGCCAAAAAAAATTTAGCATGCTATACTGCAATTTGAATTTTTTACATTTGAAATAATGTGCTAGAACTCATAATATGCAGGAATTCCAATATAATATGCTGGAGTTTTGTAAGCAAGTATTCCAAAAAACTTTATCTTCTCTCTGAAGGCGCACGTTAAGCAGGATCGCTAATGTACGCTAACAACCATGAACAACCATCAACGACAAGCTTCGATGACGAAAAGCTCTACAGAATAAACTGAGGGATCGACTAATCGATTGGTAACACCAGAATCTGGAATTGAACAACAATTAGGTCCTCGACAACTTATCAGTTGGTTGCCGGGGACGGGAAGTGCACCAACAGTCATGCAAACAACAGCGATAAATGATTCTCAACCACCGGTAAGGGGAATTACTACAATTCCACCAGAAACCTCAATCCCACCGAAATTAGGAACGACAACTGCAGCGTGCAAACTGACCTACCTAGTAGGATTACCAGCTAAATCTATGGCAGAGGTGGTCAAGGGCAACCGAATGAAGGACCAAGGAATGCAATTGAAGTTATACCCACTGGTGATCAAGGATGGAGTGAAACTGGTTGAATTGAACCAAAATGAAGTGGAGCGCCAATGTCAGAAATGGAATTCAGTGGCTACACCGAAGGTACTATTACATGGCGATGGCTATTTTATCTTTAAATTTGAATCTATAGAGGATAAGAACATGATTATCCAAAATGGCCCGTATACATTCAATAACAGACCCATGATTTTGAAAGATTGGACTCCAGACTTTAACATAAGAAATGAATCTCTGCGTCTTGTTCCTATATGGGTGATTGTCCCAGGCTTACCAATACAATTTTGGGCTGAGGAAAATCTAGGGAGGCTAGTGAGCTACATTGAACAACCTTTGTGCACTGATAAGCTCACAGCTCATTATGATAGAGTCTCTTATGCTAGAGTGCTCATAGAGGTTGATGTCACTCAACCTCTACCTGATGTTCTCCCTGTTATTATGGCGGACGGTAACATTTGGAATCAAGATGTAGAATACGAGTTGAAGCCTATGTTCTGTCAAGAATGCAACCAATTTGGCCACACGACTGAAAAATACCGAAGAAAACAACCACAGGTGCAGCCAGAAAAGAATCAGAATAAGAAAAAGAAGAAGGAGAAATGGGAATGGAAGACAAAGGCGGTAGAGCCAAGTGATACAGTTGAAACAACTTCAGTAGCCCCTGAAAACACTAAGTCTCCTGAGATACCTTCAGTTGATAAAACAGCAGAAGAAACACAGGAGGTTCAGATACAAATACATCTATCAAACAGAGGAAAACAAGTTGTCGTTCATCATCGTTCAAAGAAAAAAGGTGGACATCACATTGACATACAGGATATTGCTAGGAGAAATCAATTTGCTCCACTAAGGATACTTGAGAGAGCACAACCTGAGCAAGACCAAACTATCATAAGGGTAGAGCAATTGGTAAATAAAGGAATCAAGGCAATCAAGACACCTCCACCATGATCTTCAACACTTGGAACATTAGGGGGCTAAATAAGCCCCACAAACAAAAAGAGTTTAAATTTTTTTTGCTTAACAATAAGATAGATATGGTGGGATGCTTTGAAACCAAAGTGAAAAAGTCAAAGGCTGCAGTGACACAAAACAAGTTTGGAGCAGGATGGAAATTTGTAGATAACTATTCCTCAGCACCAAAGGGAAGAATCTGGATTGGATGGAAGTCAGTAAATGTTACAGTTTCAGTGCTTCAATCCTCTGGCCAGCTCATCCACTGTCATATTCAAGATAGAAATACAATCTACTGTTATGGAACCTTTGTTTATGGATTACATACCACTGCAGAAAGGAAGCCTCTGTGGGATCATCTTAAGGCCATCTATGTGAATCTAAGTGGCCCATGGATCATTCTAGGAGATTTCAACAGTATACTATCAGCGGGGGATAGGATTAATGGAGCTCCAGTTCATCAACATGAATTGATAGACTTCCAACAATGTATTGAGGATATTGGAGTATGGAAAATCACCAAACAAGATTGTCAATTCTCTTGGAGCAATAAAAGAGATGTAGATGAGAGAATATACAGCCACATTGACTGGGCCTTTGGTAACTCTGATTGGTTCCAGACATATGCTGGTGTTGAAGCTGTGTACTTGCTTCCAAGAGATTCAGATCACTCCCCAATTATGCTGAATACAGTAGTAAGCAGTTCTAAAGTCAGGAGACCTTTTAGACCCTAACACTGCTCCTGCTACAGGAAAATTATAGAGAAACAGTCAGAACAGTTTGGACACAACAAATTCAGGGCCACACTATGTTTAAAATATGCAAGAAGCTGAAGATGCTGAAAATCCAAATGAGGAACATTCACAAAGAATTTTCTTCCATTGGTAGCAAACTAGAGAGCTTGAGGAAGAAGCTGGGGGTTGTTCAAAGGGCCTTAAATGAGGATCACTTCAATCCAGCACTCATAGAGGAGGAAAAACTGACACTCACGCTGATTGAAAAATGGGATGCAATACAGGAAAGAGTACTTAGGCAAAGATCAAAAGCTATATGGATTGCACAGGGGGACTCAAACTCCAAGTACTTCCATTCCTACCTAAAAGCTAGACAAGCAAGGAACAAAGTATCTTGCATCTACAATGAGCAAAAAAATACCAGACTAACTGAACTAGACCAGATTCGGAATAAGTTTATCAGCTTTTTCAAGAAGCTAATGGGTGAAGCAGCTCCTACATTACTGGGTTGGATATCAACATAGCTAGGGATGGCCCTACTTTGACCCTAGCCCAACAACAAACAATGTTGATCCCTGTGACAAAAGAAGAAGTCCTGCAACCAGTAATGGAGCTCCTTGATGATAAAGCACCAGGACTATATGGTTACCCGGCTGAATTTTATAAGACATTCTGGTCAATTATAGGGGAGGAAGTGACAGAAGCTATGCAACAATTCTTTGAAACATGCAAGATGCTCAAAGAAATAAACTGTACCACTGTCACCCTGATCCCTAAGGTAGATCACCCAACATATGTTAAAGAATTCAGGCCAATCACATGTTGCTCTACTCTATACAAGATCATTGCTAGGAAAAGCAGTAGTGGATTATCTTGTTGGACCAGCTCAATTTGCCTTCATAGAGGGGAGGAACATTTTAGACAATGCCATACTTGCACATGAACTGGTGAAGGATACACAAGAAAATCAATGTCTCCAAGATACATTATAAAGGTTGACATAAGAAAAGCCTATGACTCGGTAGAATGGAGTTTCCTGAAGCAACTACTGATTGAATTTTGGATTCCTCATAAGGTGGTGTGTCTGATCATGGAGTGTGTAACCACAATAAGCTATACATTGCTGATTAATCGTGGTATAACAGCTAGATTCCCAGCAAAGAAAGGTCTACGCCAAGGGCATCCTATGTCACCGTATCTCTTTGTGCTTGTGATGGAATACCTAAATAGAGCATTAAAGCAGTTACAAAGTACTCCAGACTTCAATTATCATCCTAAATGCTCTAAGAAACACATCACTCATATCTGTTTTGCTGATGACCTGCTCCTGTGTTGCAGAGCAGACAGAATTTTAGTGCAACTCATGATGAAGCACTTTGAACACTTCTCACCTATTTCAAGGCTTAAAGCTAATATGGAGAAGAGTTCCCTGTACATTGATAGTGTCAAGACTGAATTCAGGCAACAACTCTTGGTTGAGCTCCATTTCTCTCATGGCAGCCTTCCCTTCAAATACTTAGGAGTACCATTATTTGCTACAAAACTGACTATCAACCAGTGTATGCCTTTGGTGGAAAAGATTGTGGCAAGGGTCAGATGTTGGTCTTCAAAGATTTTATCATATGTAGGAAGACTCCAATTGATAAAAAGTGTTTTTTTGGATTCAAACCTACTGGGCTCAGATCTTCCCACTCCCAAAAAAAGTAGTTAAACTAGTCACAGCAGTTTGCAGGAATTTCCTCTAGCATGGTACAAAGTAGAATGCTAACAGGGCACCCATTGCCTGGGAAACAATATGCCAACAAAGATCTACTGGTGGACTGAATATACTCAACTTCACCCTGTGGAATAGAGCTATAATATTGAAGCTGTTGTGGGCAATCTCTCAGAAAAAAGGATACACTTTGGGTCCTCTGGATTCAATACATAAAAGGAAAAGACTTAAAGGAAATGAAAACACCAAGCCATCAAAGCATGGTGGTTAGAAAGATATTTGAGGCTAGATAATGGCTAGCACCTAACATGCTGTGATGACCCGAAAGGTCATCTTGTGTTTTAGAACCCAATTCGGGGTTCTGAGGCCTTTAAGACCTCATTTTATTTCTCCTCAATTTGGTGCACAGTCCAAGCGCGTTTCCAGAAAGCCTTTATGTGGAAATTTGAGAAAATAATAATTTTTGCCTTTAAAAGTTAATTTTAGTTGACTTCGATCAATATTTTGAGTAAATGGACCCGAACCCGTGTTTTGACGATCCCGGAGGGTTGGTAGTAAAATATGGGACCTGGGCGTATGCCCGGAATCGGATTCGGAGGTCCCTAGCCCGAGTAATGAATTTTTGTTAAAACTTGTAAACTGAAAAATCTAAGGATTTAAAGAAATTTATTAATGTTTGATTTCGTTGGTATCGGGCCCGTATTTTGGTTCCGGAGCCCGGTACAAGTTCAATATAATATTTAAGTCATGTCTGTGATATTTGGTGAAAAACGGAGTTGATTTGACGTAATTCGGGCATCTGGTTGTGAAAATAGGAATTTCAAGTGTTCTTGAGAATTTCATGTATTTTAGTGTTAAATCCGTAGTTTTAGATTTTATTTTGGCGATTTGATCGCACAAGCAATTTCGTATGATGTTCTAAGACTTGTGTGCATGATTGGTTTGGAGCCTCGAGGGCTCGGGTGAGTTTCGGATAGGCTACGGGATGTCTAGACTTAGAAAAATCTGGCGTTGGACAGTTGCAGAGTTACAGGTCTCGAATCTTGGAAGTGCGGCCGCGGTGGGAAATTCGCGGACCGCGATAGAAGAACGCGGCCGCGGTGGGAACTTCGCTGACAGCGGTGGAGATTTTGCGGCCGCGCTGTGGATTTCGCGAACCGCGTAGTGAGGATCAGAGGGTGCTATATAAACATGATTTTTCATTCATTCTTCAATTTTTCAAACCCTAAAACATAAGAGGCGATTTTTCAAACCCTTCTTCATCACCAAATCATAAGTAAGTGATTCTTAACTCATTTCTTTCACTCTTTTACTTCTTTTTACAAGATTTTATCCTAGAATCTAGGGTTTCATGGTGGAATTAGGGATTTTTGTGTAGAACTTAGAAATTTCAAAATTTGGGGATTTAGACCTCAAATTGAGGTTGGATGCCAAAACCAATTGTATATCCGGGCTCGAGGGTGAATGGGTAATCGGGTTTTGGTATGAATTTCGAGTTTGGACCAAGCAGGCCTGGATGTTGACTTTTTTTCAAAAATGGCCTAAATTGAATTTCTTGCTATCATGGGTAGTTCCTAAGGCTTAAATTGAATTGTTTGGTTGGTAATTTTCTAGATTCTATTGGTCCGGAGGCTTGTGTGAAGGGAAAAGCTGTGATTGAGCTTTGAGTGTCCCGCGGAGGCGAGGTAAGTGTTGGGTCTAACCCTGGCTTGAGGGATTAGGTATTACTTGTCTATTTGCAATGTGTTTTGATATTGAGAACAACATATAGGTAAGGTGACGAGTACTTTTGTGTTGATGTCGAGTCATAGCATGCGAGTTAGTCTTATTCTTGTAACTGTTGTACTCATTGATCATATATCTCATGTTTAGACTTGTTATTCCATGTGTTGAGCAACTCTTATCATGTTCTATGGAATTTGGTACTGATTGAGTATTAACTCAGAGTTGAGGCTGGTATTGTGAAATCAAATGTTGAAGTAAGACTGGTTCCTGATATTTCTATCTCCCTGTTGTTATTGTTCATTGTTGTGGTGAGGGAGAGAGTTAAAGCACGAAGGGTGATGCCGTGCAATATTTTGTGAGTGAGTGATAATGCACGAAGGGTGATGCCGTACCATATTCTTTGAGTGATAATGCACAAGGGTGATGTCGTGCCATATCCTGTGAGTGATAATGCACGAAGGGTGATGCCGTGCCATGTTATGAGAGAGTTAATGCATGAAGGGTGATGCCCTGCCGTTTCTATTGTTTCTTACGGTGAGGGCGAGAGTAAAAGCATGAAAGGTGATGCCGTGCACTTGTTTGCTATGTTATTACTTTCGTTGGTCAAAGCATGTTATTTACTGCAATTCTTTACAGTTCTCGTTACTATCTGCTCAAATTGCTATTTGTTGTTATTTTCTCGTATATGATTTAACTGCACAGGTTCGTGTCATTGTCGTGTCCTAGCCTCGTCACTACTTCGTCGGGGTTAGGCTCGCACTTACCAGTACATGGGGTCGGTTGTACTGATACTGCACTCTGCACTTTCTGTGCAGATTTTGGTACTGGACCATGTTGACCCGAGTTGAGGTGCTGCCTTCAGTCCTACAGGAGACCCAAGGCAGATCTGTCGGCGTTCGCAGACCCTACAGTCCCCTTCCAGTTATTCCAGTTCACTGTTTTTACTTTAATTCAGAGACAGTTGTATTTTCTTTCAGCCAGTACTTGTAGTGACTCTTAGAAGTTCGTGGATTGTGACACCAGATTTTGGGTAGTCGTATATTAGCACTTGGATTATTATGAGATTCCGCACTCCTTTAATTTGTCTTGTTTTAAATTCCTGCTATTTATTGAATTGGTTAGTGTTAGCGTATTTAATTCTCTATCTGTTGGCATGCCTAGAATTCTGAAAGGTTAGGCGCCATCACGATCCCGAGGGTGGAAAACCCGGGTCGTGACACATGGATAGAATACAAACTTATGCAACAGATGCCAAATTCAGCATCTAGAAAGCTTATATGTGCAGTCTTCCTCAATACCCTAAAGTCTATTGGAAATGCTTGATTCTCAATAGAGGCATGATACCAAAACATCAATTCATTCTATGGATGGCTCTTCAAAAAAGGCTGGCAACAGCAGACATAATACAAAAGTGGGAAATACACATGCAAAGTGAGTGTGTACTATGCTCAACAGATGTAGAGGAAACACTCACGCACCTGTTCTTTGAATGCAGCTACTCCAAGACCATATGGCGGTAACTACTTCAATGGACAGAAATGCAAAGGCAAGTGAGATCATGGAATGAGGAACTAGCTTGGCTGATAAGCATAACAAGAAGCAAGCATCCAAGAGCAGCCATCATTGCCTTCATATTTGCAGCCACAGTCTATCATGTTTGGATGAAAGAAACAGTAGAAGATTTTAACAACTAAAGAGAACAACTACAGACAGACTGAAAGAAATAGCTCTACAATCGCATATTGTAGGAGAAAGATGTTCCAAATGGCAGAATGAATTAGATAAATTAAGAGGTTATCCAGACTAGGATACTTGTTTCTACAACTAATACCCTTCCTAGAAGGTGAGCAGTTATAGAGCAATAGCTAGTATAGCGAGAGTTTTCATAGTTATTATTGTATGATCCTGTCTCTAGAGTCCAATGAGCAAGTGTGCTTATAAATAATTATACTTGGTTGAATAAAGTTTTCCATTTAACCAAAAAAAAAAAAAAAGCAAGTATTCCAAAATCCAACATATTATGCTGGATTTTTTTCGTGTTTCAGCTAAAGGTATTTTTATTCTGATTTTATTTTCGCGTTATAT